GTATTAATATTCAGCCTGTCCCAGTTACAAAATGTACCGGATTATCAGCTCTCCTGTCTGTCAGTGAACCGCAGCTGTAAAGTTTTAGAATAAAGCCCCGGTAAAATTAATGGTATCACCCCTCTATTATGAAATAATAAAGCCATGAGACGGGCAAGGAGCCAGCCTTTTGGCTGTCTAATCGTAAAGACCGTATTATAGAGGGAGCTCACACAGTCAAGAGAAGGAGTTTCAGCCAACTCTGTTGTATAAAGGAGTTGATGAATGTGTTGTATGTGTCTTGCTTGCTGTAATGGACGATGGTTTGACTTCACTGACTTTTAGCTTCATATATAGAGTTACCGTAGTCACATAAAAAATAAGCTTTCGAGCGCTTTGCCCATAACCGAGGCTCCTGCACACGATACACCTGTATCTGTGGGGCCCCGAAAATTGGGTGTTTGGCAGACGCAGTCCTCCTCTCTGCGCAAGAGAAGTGAACGCGACAAACGATTTGTTCGATCAGAAACAATTATTTAGCGTGTAAAATCATGCAAAGCACATTTAACCATGGAACAGTATTTCTTGGAAAGCTAACAGTCACTCAGCTGGCGAAGAAGTTACCCCGTTTTACGTAATAGTGATTTACTGAACAGCTGAGCGACTATCAGCTTCTCACAAAGTCCGCTACTCCATGGATTACGTTAAAGAACATACATACCTAGACGCATACATCGTTACATAAACAAGAGAGACCTACCTTAAGTTGGATGTCTTCTGGGACGTAGCGCCTTGTCGTCCGGTGGAAAATGATCAACGTTTCGGAGGTGGATACTGCCTTCATCAGGACTACTTGCTCTGTCGTCAGGTGCTGAGAGTAACACCGGTGCACTGCCACGAGGAGAAAGCCGAGAAACTGCTCTCCATCTTGCAGAGAATCAGACAGGAGACGTTTCAACTGCAGGCACAGAGCGTTTTCAGAACCGTTATAACGTATAAGAACCATTAAACAGTCTCGTGTTGCATTTTGGGGGGGGGGGGGGGGGGGTCACGTGTGATAGTTGGGATGCTGTTTCCAAGACAACGAAGAAAATGACAGCGAAACAACTTGGAACAGAACTCAGGAAACGCTTGGAATATTTAATTTAATTGCAGAGATAAAATGTTAAGAGGTTGATCCCAGTGACTGTGAAGGTACGTTCCGAGGTCACTGGGTTCCGATGTGCATGGTCGTTCGTGTGTCTTTACGTTGCTGGCTGCTATTTCATAAGCCACCATAATTTTTCGAAGTTTTAAGCGTTCTGCAGCTTACGTAATGATTCTACTTACTTGTGTCAAAAACGTAGAAAAAAGGAAGACAGAAACCGAAAAGAAGTGGAATTAAAAGTATTGTGGTACAAACGTACAAAATACGAACAGAGAAAAACAAAAGATGGCTGTCTTCTGGGTAGTTACACCGTGTAGTCTGGTTGAAGTTTACCGACGTTTCAGAGGTCCTTGCTGCCTCCATCATCAGGGCAGGGCGACAACTCATGATGGAAGCAGACTGCACGGCTCAACAACCCAGAAGACAGCCAACCTTAGTGAAAGATTTTTACGAGGAATTCAGGTAATGCAAAGTAATTTTTTTTTGGCAAGTTTGCAATAAGAAAGGTGAGTGTCCGCATAGTCTTACCATGGACAACGAAAGGATGTACACTGGTCATTTCACGATCCGACCGCCTCTACCCCAAAGGTGAACCTCCCTATGACTAAAGAAAAATGAGTATTATCACGTGTGGGAGATGTTATAGATTCATTTAAAATTTCAAGCGAGAATCTTTTGTGAACGCAGACAAATTTGTAACATTAATGGGATGATATTAAAATGGTGTTTAAATAAATGAGTTTTGAAGGTGTAGACTGAAATTAAATAATTTACTCTGGATTGAATCTTATGTAAATTTTTTGTAACTGCGGCATTCAGAATTCGCATTATTTTAATTATTTAAAGCCCAATGTTGACTATGCGTAGTGTATTTCGCTTCAGAGTACATTTTTGAACTATCTTTTTCGCGCATGCACAAAGTATTTCTGGACCTATCGTAGTTTACATATCGGAAACTGATGTTTAACCGCATCGTCTGCATAGGACTTGAGCTTACAAAAGGTGTCTTGGGAGGTGAAAAAGCGCTGGAGGGCAGAGGAAATAAGAAGGTAGCTCATACGTATTAAGTATATCGTTCATCTTCAACTGGAATACCTCTCAGCCAAAAACCACAACAGAGCCCTTGCTTCTTAAAGCTGATTAATTACTGCGACAGGATTATAATATACAAACGGACCGGACAGAAACAAAAGCCTGGCTCCACCGCGAGTGGCAGGTGATGTACGTCTCAATGTTACTGCAACATGTCAGGATAATGCGTCTTGTGTAAATGGTGCACCGCAAAACGCGGACCCTGATTGCCTCATAACCGTCGGGATTCATAAAGTTCCGGAGGGATAATTCAGGGCTCAAGGGGTGAGTGGTGTGTGACACGTGAGCAAGTTGAAGGGGTCCAGGGTACGGGGCAACGCAGAAACAGATGAAAATAACCGTTAACAGCTTAAGAACTGGAAGACATCCCATCTGCATTATTATATTCACCATCTTAATAACAACAATAACTACTGTCATCTATTTAACCTTCATTATTAGCCAAAAACTTCGTCAACGTCTTCAGAACCGTCATGTAACTTCTGTGAGATTTGACGTATTACTGTGCCCTGAAGAAGGTGGCATTATATACCTCGTCAACATCCTATCATCCTATAACTTCATGTAGTGCGGTTTGAAACACTTTTATTATAAGCGTAGTTAGTGCTAAGATTCACTTCCCTGAGCTCTATCCGATGGTCATGTTACACATTAAAGTCACAGATACATTTATTGACGCATTCGTCCCACAGAAAAATATATTTAAATAAATTTAGCCTAAGAAATATACAAAAAAAATTATGACAACTTATAAAATATTTCCTTACATCCGCGAAAGTAGAAGAACGCGTTGTCCAATCTCATGCTGTTCGCTATATTTGTAACACTTCGCACATGCCTAGACTGCAGACTGATGTCACACGTAAACGCAGGTCTGAATGTCTCCTCAGACGTTACATTTGTACACTGTTAGAATATCTTAGAATACAGGGGAACATCTGGCACAACCTGTATAACGTGTGGCAGTATAGGTGCTTCATAACGTCTTCATATTCTGCAATGATTCTGACAAGACGCGCTTTGTACCAGCAAGAAGAAACTGCTGAAGTGGTCGTAGGATACACATGATCAGCTTAAGGGCAAAAGGACCAGACAGAAGAAGAAAGGGTGTGTCTGAATGTACACAGCATTTATGCATTTATGCTTTTAATTTAATGTCTCTCCTTTCTCATGCATCGTCATGGATCAGTCAATAACAGTCCGACTGCACACTGAAAGAAAAGAAAGCATTGGATTTCTACGTGTTCACTGACCGAAGTGCATAAAATGAACGCACAACTGGGAGGTCGTTTCTGTATCACCCACCGCCAGGATGTTTTATCTCCGAATCTACTCATCTGATTCCTATGAAATGTGGTACTGGTGTAATGACACTGTGTGTGACGGGGAGGGGGGCACAGGTTACTTTAAAATTTGTACACGGAGTTAAGAGTCGAATCCTTATGGGTTTAACACATACTTGACATGAAACTGAGATGTATTCTTATTTTTCCAGGCTCTGCTACTCGTGAAACGAAACAGCGAGACGACCTAGGAAATAGCGTAATCTTGTTACATTTTGCAGTATTTTTTTTCTATACAATTACACGTTGCGAATATTTTTAACTAAACACAAAGACAACTTCGACGTTGCAGTGTGGTATTTGTGCTCTGACTGACTAAGCAACATATTTCTGTGTGTAGGAACAGATTTGTACCCGCAAATCAATGAATATCGCGTGGAATGGATATATACTTTTTGTAGCTGGCTGACGACCATTTCCCGTAATATTAATGTGTTTGTGTGTTGTTACAACCGTTATCATGATATGGTGATCTTTTTCTGTTAAGGGGTTTAGTAGGGCTTTCAGATAACGATATAACCGTTGTCATGGCAACGCTGTTAGTGTAAAGTTATTATAACCTCGATATAAGATCATATTTGAGAGTGCCTTCCATGATATCGTATTATATCCTTTAATTAAGCAAACGTAAGTAAAGACTGTAATTCTCATTTCGTATCCGTGTTCAAATCTCAGCTCGGAGACGTCTGTCATGACTTAGGCCTCACGCCAGACACACGCCGGTATAGCACCTTAAATTAGGGCCAGATCGTTTCCTTTCACATCCTTCCCAATTCAATATTCATCAATCATCCTATTAATCGGAGCTGTCGTTAAGCAAATAAATGCTGTGACGTTGTTATATTATTATATTTAAAAGAGAATTTGAAGAGTTGAAAGTATATGAGAGAAGAAAAGACGGAAGAAATGAAAGATAAACAAAGCGAGGAGGAGATACAGGACATCAATTAGCACACTCACAGATGACAGACGTCTCGCCGTCTCCAACAGAAAATTTAAGAAGCGTGTAAACATTTTCTGCAATAAACGAGAGTGTGGGAGTAAAAGAAAGCCTCTGTAACGACTATTACAGAGAGACTTTTCGCTTTCCGACTATTATACTTGCATTCAGAGACTGAACAGGAGTGTCATGAAGCAGTTAGATCAGTTTCCTTGAAACAAATCCATCGATGACGACATAGGGCACAAGGCGACTTTCGATAAAAGTTATGTTGTGACGACAGCGAACAGGTAGCTCGCTGCTCATCCGTGGGCAGCGTATTTCAGTCAGTATGCCACGGTATCGCACGAGATCTGCGGATTTATATTTGCATTCGGGCGTGGTTCCATATAAGACACTACGAGCGGGTTCAGTGTGTGTGGATGCATCAGTCCGAAACAGCGAACGCCATGAAGCAGACTCTTTGTTTAGACGCTATCAGTACACTCAGCTGGTCAAGAAATCCAACGCCTTTCATGGAATGCAAATGTTCATTACCGTGTACACAACAGCCAACCAGCAGTCCCTGTGTTACACCATATTAATCCAATCTTCACCCTAGAAACAAACACTCCATTTCAATGAGCCAGTTGATTTTAAAAACATCTTCTGCCAATGCATAATCTCCTTCTGTTCCTCCCGTTCCTTTACCGCCGCCTTTCAGTTCGTGCCAGCCTTCCTGGCCGACACAGGCCCGTATCTGCGTGAGGCTTGCGTCTCGCTCTGCGACAGCGATTGAGTACGGGCGTACTCTACTGTAGTAGGAAGCCCCGAGTAAATGTAACGAGTCGAAGAGCGTGCGTTCGTACCACACAATGCATCACGCGAAATGCTTGTAGCCCATCAGTTTCCCGAAACACTGCAGCCCCTTGTCACACAACACAGTGAAACAGAAGAACAACGGACTCCGTGTGCAAGTCAGACTTATAAAAGTCCAACAAACCGCTCCTCTAATTACTGTACGTGAACTGCATCAGTGGCATAAGAACCAGCTACGTAGGATTCAAGGTTTTTCTCGGCGGTGAGTCTGAAGATGGCTGTCTTCTGGGTTGTTGCGCCGTGTGGTATGGTAGACGTTTCAGAGGTCCTTGCTGCCTCCACCATCAGGGCGACCGCACTGAAACGTCGGTAAACAACAGCCCAGAAGACAGCAATCAACAACCTGTTGTGTACTCCGTTTCGTTACCGCGAAGAAACAAAGAAAGAGACAGAATTAAAGAACGAGAAACAAAGAATGAAGTAAATAAATTAAAAGGAAGTTAAAAATAGAAACAAATGAGGAAGAAAAACGCGACAAAGAAACAAACGAATCTCACTTCTTCTGCACTAATAGATTGAATGGTGTATCCTGTGCCATTCATTGTCTGCTCAGTTGGTGATTTTACGACGCTGCATCC